CAGGGCCCCCCAAATCTGCGGGTGGTGGGGTCTCCTGGCTGACCGGGAGCCGTGGTGACCTCATCCACTCACACCTATGAGAAATGAGCCTCCCAAAGACACCTTTTTGCTCTGTGAGAATAACTTCAGAAGCGACAACATCAGGGCCCGTTCACCATGAAAACACTAAGACACAGACCTAAAAGCAGGGCCACGACCCATGCCTGGGGCGATCTAGATCTTTCCCCACACATGACTGCGGGCCCAGAAAGTCTCATGGGACTAAACGTGGCCCCACTTTGCAGTCCAGTCTCATCCCCTCCCCTCGACATAGACAGGCTCATGTTCTTAAGGCTCTCAGAGCACCCCTCCATGTGATCCTCAACCTACCGGACAGGAAGGTCATTCACAAGCTCTGTCGTGAGCCCACCTGCAGTCCCGTGGTGTGCACATCTAAGCGCCCAACCCCCAAAGGGTTAGCACTGGGGCGAGGTGGGCAGAGACAGGAGGAGCAAGGTGGAGGGTAGGCGCTGGTACTCACGTGTGCACACATATGCACAGACATAAATGTGCACACACACTCACCTGCTCACACGTGCACTGGCACAAATGTGCATGTGCACACGTATACACCACACTCAACAGTGTGCACATGTGCTCACACATACACTTCACAAGTGCACTGACACAAAGGCACATGTGTGCACCAACACGATCACACATGCTCACATGTGCAGACATAAACGAGCATGCTAACATGCCACATGTGCACTCTCGTGCATGAGCACAGACACAAGACTGCACAAGTGTGCACACTCCCCCTCGCTGGTCTTGTTCTGAGTGTGGCTTCAGCACAAAAGAGCAGCAAGATGAATCCCGTTGTCCAGCACTCCGCCCAGAAGCCCCTCTCCCCAGAGAGTCAACGGCGTGGTCGAGGCGCTGTGGCCCTGCTGTGACACGTGGTCAGTGGGGCTCTGAGGGACACTCCCCCTCGCTGGCCACCTTCCCAGCCACTCCGACCACCAAGAGCACCCGTGAGACGGTTCTGACCGGGATCCTGCCAGCTTCCTGGGGCAGCAGGCCCTGGGAGGTGACTGGAGCCCCAGGCCCCCGCTTCGTGGCTGTGACACGCCCAGCAAGGAGCAGCCTGAGCCCTGGAGGGGCCTGTGGCAATGGTACGCTGTCCCTGGGCCCGTACGGACACACTCTAAGTGCAGCATCCCCGGAAACCCATGCTGAAGGTCTGGACAGACGCCAGCGGTCACGTTGTGTATGATTTCACCTAAGATGCTCAGAACAGGAAAACCCATGTATGCCAAAAGCAGAGTAGGTTGCCAGGGGCTCTGGGAAGGACGGAGGGTGGCTGCTGATGGAGGTGAGGTTTTCTTTTGGGGTGATGGAGATGTTCTGAATTCAACACACGTGGTGACAGAACACTGTGAATGTACCAAATATCTTAGAAAACTGCACAAAATGGAACACAGAAAAATTCTCAAAACGTTAAAGACAAAAAAGACACATAAGTGGCCATTGAGAGAATGTCAAACAATTGAAGGTGCAAAGAAATGGGTTCATTTGTAGAAAATGTATTTTTGTGTACGTTGCAGGGAGGGAGGGGGATTCATTGAGAAAATAATGGTCAAATGATGTCTAAACGTGATGAAACCATAAACTCCAAAACAGAACCCAATGAGAAACAAATGCACCCCTAGCTTGGCCATGCCTCTCTCAGGCAACAGCACAGTAGACCGTCAGCTAGAGCAGCAAGCATCTGGCCTTGAGGGCAGACTGCATTCGGACACACACGTAGGGCAGTCCCCGAAGGAGCACGTGCTGATCGTAAAGCAAGCGCCGTGAATTTAAAAGACTGAAACTCTAACTCAGGCCAATGCTCAGTACAGCAGTGAATTTGATCTAAAAGAAAGGCATCTACTATTGAAGGAAGATGATTAAGAAATGAAAACACCTTCTATGTCACACGTGAAAAGCAAACAATCCTGTCCTGCTGTTCCCCTTTCTCAAATTACCTGCTTTAAAGTCTGATGATCACAAGACAGTATGGTATTGGCACAAAAACAGACACATAGACCAATGGAAAAGAATTGAGAACTCAGAATTGGGCCCATAAGTGTACAGCCAACTAATCTTTGACAAAGCGGGAAAGAGTATCCAATGGAAAAAAGAGCCTCCTTAACAGAAGGTGCTGGGTAAACTGGACAGCAACATGCAGAAGAATGAAACTAGATCATTTTCTCACACCATACACAAAAATAAACTCAAAATGGATAAAGGACCTGAATGTGAGACAGGAAACAATCAAAACCCTAGAGGAGAAAGGAGGAAACAACCTCCTTGACCTCCACCGTAGCAACTTCTTACTTGACACATCCCCAAAAGCAAGGAAATCAAGAGCAAAAATAAACTATTGGGACCTCATCAAGATTAAAAGCTTCTGCACTGCAAAGGAAACAATCCACAAAACTAATAGGCAACCAACGGAATGCAAAAAGTTCGCTGCAAATGACATATCAGACAAAGGGTTAATATCCAAAATCTATAAGGAACTCACCAAACTCCACACCCGAAAAACAAACAACCCAGTGAAGAAATGGGCAGAAGACATGAACAGATACTTCTCCAAAGAGGACATCCAGATGGCCAACAGACACATGAAAGATACTCAGCATCCCTCCTCATCAGGGAAATAAAAATCAAAACCACACTGAGATACCACCTCACGCCGGTCAGAGTGGCTAAAATGAGCAAATCAGAGAACTCTAGATGCTGGCGAGGGTGTGGAGACACGGGCACCCTCCTACACTGTTGGTGGGAATGTAAACTGGTGCAGCCCCTCTGGAAAACAGTGTGGGGGTTCCTCAAGAAATTAACAATACAACTCCCCTATGACCCAGCAATAGCACTGCTAGGAATTTAGCCAAGGGATACAGAAGTGCTGATGCACAGGGACACATGTACCCCAATGTTCATAGCAGCACTCTCAACAATAGCTAAAACATGGAAAGAGCCTAAGTGTCCATCAACGGACAAATGGATCAAGAAGATGTGGTTTATCTATACGATGCAATACTCCATGGCAATGAGAAACAATGAGATCTGGCCTGTGTAGCAACATGGATGGACCTGGAGGGTGTTATGCTGAGCGAGATAAGTCAGGCAGAGGACAGATACTGCATGTTTGCACGTATAGGAGGATCAGGAGGAACTTAACGGAGGACCATGGCGGAGAAGAAGGGGGGAAATGGTGGGAGAGGGGGAGGGAGGCAAACCATGAGAGACTCTTGAATGCTGAGAACAACTGAGGACTGATGGGTGTGGGGGGAGGGGGGATGGGCCTGGAGGAGGGCACTTGTGGGGATGAGCACTGGGTGTTACATGGAAACCAGCTTGACAATAAACTATTTGTAAAAAAAAATAATAAAGTCTGATGATCAATTTCTGGCCTAGTGCTTTACACAGGGATGTTTTTCCAGTTCCCGGAGGACCTGTGTTTTTCAGTTAGCGTGGTAACAAATTCCTTAAAACAACAGTAGTTTCATTATCCACAGCACACAAATCAAGCAGAGCTCAGAGTTCCGAATGCTATTACTCCAAGGACTGCTGGGTAGCTCGCAAAGAAGCCCGCTAGCAGCGCACGTGCTATAAAATACTAACATCACACTTCGCAAGGCTTTCCTTTTTCTCCCAGTTGACCTCAGCCCGTGTTTCTGCTCTCAGCTTCCATGACCCAACACGGCATCGCCCCCCGGCCTGTGCATCCCCTCAGCGTCCAGAGTGAGCACATTTCCTGGTCTCCGTCCGCACTGACACCCTCCCTGTCCCCACGCATCCTCTGTAAAACCCACTCGCTAAGGCACCTTGTGGAAGGCCAAACAGCTTTCATGAGAAGCATCTGGACTAAGGCACTGAAGTCTGCCATTTCTGCAGCGCACAGCATCCCCGGCTTTCACCGCCGCCCACATTGAACCAGAAGAGCAGCTGGCGAGGCCCTGCTCATACAGCCCCCTGGCCCACGTGCCACCGAGCAGGACGCCGGGCAGTAGCTGAGACGGCCAATGTGGAGGGACAAACGCATCTATCAGAAAACGCAGACACTTTCGCATCTGATTTTCTACATGCATTCTTGATAATTAAAGAAGAAACATATAACCAATTCTAAATGGAAAACACTCTATTTCACTAATCAAAATACCTACTGACTGCGTACTTAGAACCCAGTATCAGGACAATACGGTGACAATATCTGCTGTTTAAAAGCACTGTTTTGGGGGCGCCTGGGTGGCTTGGTTAAGCATCTGAACCTTTATTTTGGCTCAGGCCATGATCTCAGTTTGTGAGATTGATCTATGAGTCAGGCTTTGTGCTGACAGCATGGAGCCTTTTTGGGATTCTCTCTCTCCCTCTTTCTCTGCCCTTCCCCCATGCATGCACTCTCTCAAAACAAATAAATCTTAAAAGAAAGACAGTTTTGTAAGACTCCACAGAAGCATATAATCTTAACTGTCTGAGAAGCTAATTACTCTGCATTCCCACCTCACTATTATTTGGGCATTCTCTCGATTTCCTTCTAACCACTAACATCAAGAAAGAATCCAATGTTCCCCTCAGAGAAGATTCAGGCAGAATTTCAGCGAAGCACGGATGTTGCAATTTAAGGTCACAAAGCGAAGCTCCAGGAATACAACAAAAATGTGAGGCAGTTTCTGTCCTAAGGATTGTAGTGATCACTTAGGGGAATTAGGCAATTATTTGAAAAGTTTAATCATAACGTAGAAAGGTCACAAGGCAGAGACCAGGCAGCTGCCAAGTGAAGGGTCAGGTGACAGATGCCCAGAGTAATGTGAGCTGGAGTGGCTTCTCAGGGAGGGGACCTTCGAGGACAGCGCTGGCTGCATCAGAAAACAGAACTGTGACTCCTCGAAGGCCAATGGGACAAGTAAAAAAGCCTGACTTCACTCACACAGATTATATGGTTAAATAAAGAAAACCACACATGCTCTTACCATGAGACAGCACCACCCTGTTCCAGGCAATGAGACTGCTGTCGATGCGTTCTTGTCTGAAAACAGTAAGGTGTCATCACATCATCGAGGAGCTGAGCGAAGAAAGGTAAAATGCACATAAAGGTGCAGACAAGGCAAAGGTTCCCACCAGAGGTGCTGCGAGAGCTGGTGCCCGAGGAGAGGGCAGCTCTCAGAGACTGGCAGCGCCAAGTGCCAGATGCCTCATAAGTTTTCATTTTGGAAGAAACTCAGAACGTACGTGGCCAGATTGGCTGCTGCTACTCTAACTGTACAGACACAGAGGACCCACAAAAGGACTAGACTTAGCAAGGGATGAGTGGGCTCTTCCCTCTGGGATCACACAGCAGCGGGCAAGCCACAGCACATTCACTCTGGACAACAGCCTTGACTGTGGTCACGCAGCCTGTGGTGTTGTGGGGATGGACTTCTGGCATCCCCCACAGCATGGGGGACCCTTCCCCTTGAAGAGGGGTTCAGACCAGCCACCTCTTGCTTGGACCTGCCCACCTGTTCTGTCTGCCCCTCGGCCCTGCCTCCTCATCCCAAGGGGTTAAGAGCACAATGCAGTGAAAGCTGTCCCTTCATTCTTCACCCTCCCCTTCCTCCCGCACGGGACAGGTATCTGGGACATGGGCTTCCGGGAGCCTGAAAAGTTCCCCAAAGCCTATTTGGGTCATGGGGCTCCAAGACGCTGGAGAGCAACACAATACTGATCATATCTCAAACAACCAGGCCTTCTTGCAAAATAACACAGCAACTTACATGAGATTGGACTTCCACCTCGTATACCAGGCTGTCCATACCAAAGCCCATGGAATTCAGCTGCAGGAGGAAAACAAAAGCCCAATATTTGGAAAGCAAGCACTACACTGACCACAGAGGTCTGCCCCGTACTGCTGATGCTCTCTGTTGTACCACATATAACAGGCTGAAGGTCTCATTACTAGGAAGTTAAATTTTTGAACTTTTTCTTAAAAGTTTAATTTTTCTTTAAAGATGCAAAGTACCTGCCAGTCCCACAGCTTTCGACAGACAATAAAATGGAGTACGGGGTTACTTTCTCATCACGTGACCACATACAATTATCTGTTGTGGACCTGCACAGAGCCTGCCCCACCGCTCTTCCGCACCAGCCAGCACTTGGGTAGAGCCAAGGCAGGTCTGGGCCAGCAGTTGGGACACCAGATGTGAACGCTGAGGACTCCACCTGCTAGAACCATGGCAGAGTCCACAGGGAAGCCCAGAAAAGGCAGGAGGAAAGAAGGGCTCGGGAGGTGATGATCAACTGGGAAGGAAAGAACACCTCCAGATTCTCAGCATCATCTCTGAAGGAACCACCTGAAGGAACACAGTCTTATGGTGGAGATCCCTATTTTTACCCTGTGACATGCTCTCCATCCCATAAGAAATAAAACACCATGAAAGCCTACCAAAGAGATGGACGAATACAATCTCCTGGGCTAACTTGCTTGGACAGCGCAGGCCACAGGCTGACTCTAACGTCGTGTCCTGGGTGCGCCACCCCCTCCAAGGCCTACGTACCTGCAGGCAGGACCCATGACTCGCTGCCGTGATGTTGTCGGTCTCCTCCTCCAGGGTCTCACTGCTGGGGCCACCCTCGTTCAGCTGGAAGATGTGAAGCGCAATCGTGCAGGCACCCAAGTCAATGGGCTGCAATGAGAAGGAAAATCAAAATAAACTCACACAGACTGAAAATAACCCCCTTCCCAGTTCTAGTTATAAAGATTACATTGTAAATCCAAAAGTTGAACTTGAATACACAGAATGTTAGAAACTAGTTCTTAGATTAGGTAAAGAGGCTGTTACGTTCAGATTCAGTATCAACTCTTTTTAAAATGTTTCTCTCTCTTCCCTTTTGTCTAAAATACCACTTTATTGTTCTTTGTATCATGAAAGTTACATGTATGTTGAAAACATACGAACAATACAGAAAGAAGATCGTCAAAGTCTCCCATCCAACCTCACACACACAATGGTCTATAACGCAGCCACATGTACTTGACCAAAAAGGATTCGATCACATAGTTTTCTAACTGTGCCTTTCTCACTTCTTTTTCACAGCTATGATATATTTGGTGTGATTATATCATTTACTTCACCAATCTCTGACAGATAACTAGGATATTTCAAGTTGTTAGCTACTATTAACGATGTGTATAAAAAAACTGCCCACGCATTTCCACAAAATCACATAATTATGTATTCAGACAAATTCCTCTAGATGAACTGCAAAGACGAGAATGTTAAAGTGGCTAATCGCCAGCACCCATGCCCTCCAATTAGGCTGCATTAATCTGTCCTTCCACAGTAGCATGGAAAACACTTCTGCTTCCTCCAGGCTGTCCAGAATCAAGTATGGTGCGTTAAACTGACAAAGCCACAACTGTTAGTAGAAGAAAAGGGAGCTCCACCTTCTAAGTAAAATTTTAGTGTGAAACCAATGCTTCAAAATCAATTCTTTATAAAACAGGAGCCATGCAAATACAGGTGATGCATCAGACACTCTGGGTTGTTTCTATAGTGACAAAATGCCCCAACGCACCCACCCTCTCCCACAGTGATGGTGGGCGAGGCAGTCCACATGCCGGACTAGAAGAAGCCCTTCTCCACGGCAGGCCCATCGCGTCCCTGCCTTCCCCATGCCTCCTGCAGTGCATGCCCACTGAGAGCTGCACAGACATTTGCTGACTGGAGGGACAGAGCCCAGGCACAGGGGCCCTGTCAGCACAGCACCCCCTTCCACAGCACTGTGCTCTGCTTTCCCAACACAGTCCCCCTCCTGTGCTGTGGGCATCCTGACATGGGGGCCGCCTCCACGCCCAGCACCTCGCTCTTCACCAACTGATCAAGGAACCAATTTCTGACAATATGCCATCAAAGCAGCAAGTGGATATCCATGATACTGACGTCACTTTTTTTTAAAGTAAATTCAACACCCAACATGAACCTAAGATCAATATCGCATGATCCGCCAAATGAGCCAGACTGGTACCACCATGACCCTGACTTTGTATTCAGATATGGATTAGCGATTTCTCAGCAATATGAATCATTTACTTATGGTTCTTTAACCTTCAGCTCTGGGTCAGCAATAGACACAGACTGCCCGTGTCTGCTCAGAAAAGGATCATCAAACTCAGTCCACGTGTAGTCTCCAGACACAATGTTACGTCTGTTGAGAAACTTTCTAACGCTCAGCTTTATATCTTCTTTTTTGGCAGTGCTAGGAAAACAAATGAGACACAGTCATCAGCTCTACGTTTACAACAGTATTGTACCAAGAAGTGCTTTTTACAAAACCAGACTGGGGATCAGACACCGCACAAGTTCAGAGCACAGCCTGGGTATCAGCCACGAGCCACGCCTTGCCTTGCAGGGGCCTGGGAGGCTTCGTGAGCCGAGATGAGTCCGGACACACGTGCGTGGCACGCAGAGAGGCTGGCTGGTGCTACTACCGTGCCCAGTGAAGCAGCCACGCTCCCACAGCTGTGGGGGTGCAGCCCGAGTCTGCATTTAACAAAACCCCGAGGCCTAGGACTCATCTGGGAAAACTCTAACACTCTCAGACTGGCATTCCGGGCCTCACGGAGGCCACCGGTGCTGGTCCACAGCTGCCCTGCCCCGCCCCGCACCCTGCGCCGGCTCACCTCACCTTCCGGCGCTGCCCCAGCCTCGCCCTCCGAGGGGGGCAGGTCCAGGAAGGGCACCGCCCCTGGGCGCCGGCCGCACGCGAGTCCCACCCCGGCTCCCCTCACGGCGGCGGAGCACAGGAGTTCGCCCGGGTCCGGTAACGTCAGGTAGCGGGCAGCAGGGGCGACCGAACAGTCCAACCAACGCCGGCTGCGAGGGCGGGGTGCACGTGTGCCCTTCCTCCCCGGCGCGTGGGCTCGGACGCACCCCCGGAGCTCACCTGCCGCTCCGCCAGGCCCCGCAGGGCGGCGCCTGCTTCAGGCCGCCCACGCCTCGTCTACGCTGCCGCCTGGGGCAGCTCAGCCGGCCGCCCACCTGCGGGTCGCGCTCCGAAGTGCCGCGGGCAACCTCTGACCCGCAAGCTGCGGGCGCCTCCGGGGAGGGGGGCGACTTCCGGTCGGGGCGCCCACTTCCGGTGCGGCCGGGGGCCGAAGCGCAGAAAGGCAGGTGGCGAGCCGGGCCCGCACACGCCGGCAGTGCCCGCACAGCCCTCAGCCCCGCGTCCAGGCCCCGCAGCGCCGGGGGCACGAAGCGGAGGCCCGAGCGGTGCTCGGCCTGTGGGGGCGTCGGCGGGGGGGGTCTCGGGCAGACACCCCGGGATCGCAGGCAGGGCCTCGGGCGCAGGATCCCCGGCCAGCCTTCGGGGGCCCTTGGCGCGCCGGCTGGGGGGGGGGCGCAGGGGGTGAGTCCGGGCTCGCGGGCAGGGCTTCGGGGAGCACCTCGGACCGCGGGCGGGGTTCCGGGCCGCCTGCTGCCCCTCGGTCGGCTTCTGTGGTCGTGGGGAAACGCGTCCCCGTGTGTCGCCTGCGTCCCGCCCGGGCCCTCCTGCGCCTGCTGCCCGGCGTCTGCTGCAGGACGGGCGGTGTGACACAGGCCGGGAGCGTCGGGGCCTGAGCCCCCTCCCGGAGGTTACGCAGCTCCCGCGAGGCGCTGAGGGGCGTCCGCGGCGGAGCTGCTTCCTGGGCCCGGCGCCCTCCCGGCCCGACCTTCACCTCAGGCCCCGGGCGCCCCTCCGCGCGCCCAGCACACCCTGAAGCCGCGGCCTCGGTTCCAGGCGAGCAGCCAAGCCCTTGGCGAAGCCCCTGAAGCGCGTCCGCGAGGCTGGGACAAGTGACGTGACAGAGCTTTTGGGGTCTGTGCACGCCCCCAGCTACGATGACGACGGCCCAACACGAGCCGGGGTGGCCGAAAGTGAAGAAGAAACCGGAGGAGAAGCGCGTTCGGGACAGAGGAGGAGAGAAAGGCCGCGCGGGGCGGCAGCGGCGGCCCCAGCCCCGGACGGCGGGCGGCAGCGGCCGAGGAGAGGGCTGCCCGTGTGCAGCGGCACACGCACCGGGCAGGGCGGTGGCCCAGTGCCGGGCCGGAGCCCGCGGCGGTCGTGCTGGGGTCGGCGTCGCGAGTGAGGGGCGCGTCCGGAGGGCCCTTTGCCCTCTGCCTCGTGCTCTCGCTCAGTCACGGGAGGAGAGGAAGCGGGGAAGGGGGCGTGCGCCTCGGAGGCGAGAGGCGCGGGTGGGTCCGCGCGTCCGCGGCCCCCGTGCAGCCGGCCGCCCGCCTCTGGGACAGCCGTTGGCGCCCTGCTTTTCAGCGCCTTGGGGCGAGTGCGGGAAGGGGGGCAGCGTTTTCTCTTCCAGGGCTCGCTGTGAGGTGCCGCTGGCCACCTCTGAGCCCGGAGAGCAAGGCCTGGTCACCTGCCGCTCTGGGCCCCGTCCTTTTGTTTGCTTGTTTTTAATACTCACAAGCTCATGAAGGATAGAAGGAAACTAGGGCTCAGATCGGTTACTGAGGCTCCGTCAGCAACCGCAGGGGCTGTGCCAGGCTCCCCAAAGGACAGGGTGCGGGATGCTCGGGGCCCTCCACCCTGTGCGCGGTCACTTTCTGCAGGGGCTTCCAGATGCTCGGGAGGAGCTGAACTGGAGGGAGTGTTGCTTCGAGGGTTTCTTTTCTCTGGGTTTGAGAAACTCTGGGTTTGACTGCTTGTAATGCGGAGGGAAGAAGGCGGGATCGTGTTGCAGTCGTCGTGGAGGGGGTGGTGTTCTGGCAACAGCCGTCCCCGTGCAAGTCATCGCCGCGGTGAACAGGTAGGACTCCAGGCCGCTGGGCACGGCGGGGAGGGGGAAGGTCAGGCGTGAAACAGCAGATCCTTAGGTGAACGTGCCCGCAAAGCTGGTACATTCGCTGGTCCCTGGGGGTTGGTCTGATTACCTGCTAGGTTGAGGTCACACATGCAGTGCTTCCCTTCTTTATACTTGGAGGGCTGAGGTTCACACTTGCTCTGATCACGGTCACTCTCGAGGATCCACTCGTGGTCTGCACTCCTGTTTGCTTCAGCCTTGAAACCAGCCATTTCTCCAAGACGTCCTGGTTCCTTAGTGCGTTTAGAAGGTGAGGTCCGGGTGCTGGGCGTGGCCGTCAGCGGACGGCTCTGGGCAAGAGCACGCATGTTCTTACAGTTTAGGGAACAGAACCTATGCTGGCATCTGTGTTCAGCACATTCACCAGAAACCTTGTTTGCACACTGTGGGCCCAGAGGTGCAGTCAGTGGCTGTCCTCACAGGGACCCCCGTGCGGTTGCATTTGTACCCTTGTTTTACAGATGAGGGGAGCAGAAGTGTGGCCACTTGTTCCTGCCAAGTAAAATGATAGTTGGTGAAACCTGACCTCTGTGTTCTGGTCTTTGTACTGTGTCTGCAACGTACTGGGTCCACGGGTAACAGGGGAATCGCACACATTGAGCTCTTCCTCTGTGTCTGGAATGTCCCGGGCCCAGTAGTGACCGGGGAGACTCATACAGGTTGATAAGTGATTGCTCCCTGTTGTCTTTTTAAGAATATTAGCACTTTTGGGGCGCCTGGGTGGCTTAGTCGGTTGAGCGTCCGACTTTCGCTTAGGTCATGATCTCGCAGTTCGTGGGTTCGAGCCCCGCGTCGGGCTCTGTGCTGACTGCCAGCTCAGAGCCTGGAGCCTGTTTCGGTCTGTGACTCCCTCTCTCTCTGACCCTCCCCTGCTCACGCTGTCTCTCTCTCTCTCTCCTAGAAAGAAATAAAACATTAAAAAAAAAATTAAAAAAAAAAAAAAGAATATTAGCACTTTCCCAGGGGACTGAGTCTTTGGGGACTGATGCCGTGGTGGATGCCCCTCCCATCCAGCTGAGATTTTTGGGGCCAAGACTGGGTTGAGTTTGTCCTTGAGCCCAGTTCTTGTTGGAGCCTAAACCACTGTGAGACGGGACGTGCTGTGCAGTTGGAGCTCTCCAGTGACTTGATATCAGAATGTTTGGATTCATCTTTACTCTGTATTTTTTAAAATCGTCATCTGAGAGTACGTCTATTCAGCAATTGCTGGAGCTTTTTTTTCTTCCGGATCCAGAGGTAAAGTTTGAGGATGGGAACATTCGGGGTATCTTCCTTTGTGAGGTGGTATTCTTCCCTCACCTCCAACACCTGTGAAGCGGACCCCTCGCCCTCCCTGGGTAGCGCTCAGCCTGGTGTGGGAGGGCCTGTCAGAAGGTAGAGCTACTTGTGCCCAGTCCTTGCAGGACAGGGTGCTGGGGGAGGTTGGAACTGCCATGATGCAGGTGTCATGGCTGGAGCCAGGATGGTAGTTCCAGAATTTAAAAATGTTGCTTATTCATTTTTGAGAGACAGAAAGACACAGAGCATGAGTGGGGGAGGGATAGAGAGAGAGAGGGAGACACAGAATCTGAAACAGGCTCCAGGCTCTGAACTGTCAGCACACAGCCCAATGCGGGGCTTGAACTCACGAACCGTGAGATCATGACCTGAGCCAAAGTCAGATGGATAAGAGACTGAGCCAACCAGGAGCCCCTAGTTTTGGAATTTTTAATCCTCAAACATACCTACTATAGTTCTAAAGAGTGCAAATTTTATTTCTAATTTTAAGACACAAACTTAAAATTTTATTAGTTGTGTCACATTTTTATTGTGTAAGGTTTTGTATCATTTGGAAATCTAGATTTAAAGCTTTTCCACTTAAGTAAAGATGTTTTTGTTTTCAGAAAATATCCTCATGGATTTTTTGCTTTTCCTGTCACAGATGCAATAGCTCCTGGTTACTCTATGATAATAAAACACCCCTAGGGTTTTGGTACAATGAAAGACAAGATCATGGCCAGTGAGTACAGGTCAGTCACAGAATGTAAGGTAAACTGGTTTCAATTTCTGAAATAACTGTTGCGAAGCTCTCTGTGCATTCATGTCCATTAAGCACCCTGTCCATATTAGCTTTTTTCTAGTTGCAAATTTCCATGGGCGTCTGAGCGTTCGGGCCCAGGTCTCCTAAAAATTGCATGAGGAAACCAGTATCTTTTTCTGGAAGTGGTAGAATTGCACAGGGGTCAAGCAAGAGTGTATCTGATTCGGTCTGGTTCCAGAATAGGTATTTTTAGAAACACAGTTTTTCTAATTCTTAGTTTTATGTTATACTAACTGGAAGTTTAAATTTTTTTGAATGATAAATTCCTATGACTCCCCAGTATGTAGTTCTGAACTCTGTTCCTTGGTACAACCGTGAGGTAGGAATTGCTTGTTGGCTTTGAAACCAAGGGTGGATCAAGATGAGTGCTTGACAACTTTGGTAATGATGTCATTTTGAAAATGGCATCAGGTTTCTTTCTTAGTTTCTGTTAATTTTTTTAAAATGTTTTATTTATTTCTAGGAGAGAGAGAGAGCATGAGCAGGGGAGGGTCAGAAAGAGAGGGAGACACAGAATCTGAAGCAGCTCCAGGCTCTGAGCTGGCAGTCAGCACAGAGCCCGACGCGGGGCTCGAACCCACAACCGCAAGATCATGACCTAAGCGAAAGTTGGACGCTTAACCGACTAAGCCACCCAGGCGCCCCTAGTTTCTGTTAATTTTGGAAGGCTTAGCTGTATTACTTTCATGTTCTGGTGACATGACTGAGCGTGTTTGCTGAGCCGCAGAGGCGGTGCCACACGAAAGTCTACGAGGTGGACAGTGCACAGTCCTCCACCTTCCTCATGGGACCCCGGTTTGCTCTGCTGCTGGGTGACAGTCCTGGATGTGGACAGCGTCCCCCTCTGCCATGTCCTCAAGACTGCATCAAGGCCTGCAGAGGATGGGGCTTCAGGGCTCACGCCCAGCCCTGTGGACCGTGCTGTGGGGCCAGCACCTGGGCTCAGTCAGGGCCTGTCCGGCTGTAGGTGTCCTTATGTGTCCTCATGGCACGTCACCTGTGACAGGTGTGTGCCATGTGTAATTTGGTTAAGGTGACAAGATACTGAAGTTTCCAAAAGATTACTTTTAATACAAGGTGTTCCGCAAGATTCTCCTTTCTTAGGGAAAGCCTTTTTGCTGCTACTATTAGAGAAATTACCGATAGACCAGATTTTGAATTTGTGGCAAAATTCTGGAGAGAGAGTACATGAATGTGTTCAGTTCTCACCTCATCCCTTAGCTTTTACTTAAATGGACCTGGCTGTCACTTCTTGTCTCTACTTACGTCCAATTTCACCCAAAACAGGGGAGCTGGAGACAGAGAGGGGAGCTGCCATGTTCTTAGAACACTCAGGTATTGGGGCAGCTGAGTGGGTCAGTTGGTTGAGTCTGACTCTTTTGTTTTAATTTTTTTTTTTTTAATTTATTTCTGAGAGAGACAGACAGCATGAGCAGGGGAGGGTCAGAGAGAGAGGGAGATACAGAAACTGAAACAGGCTCCAGGCTCTGAGCTGTCAGTACAGAGCCCGATGCAGGGCCCGAACCCACGAACAGTGAGATCATGACCTGAGCCAAAGTTGGACGCTTAACCGACTGAGCCACCCAGGCACCCGAAGAGTCTGACTCGTTGTTTCAGCTCAGGTCATGATTTTACGGTTCATGAGTTCAAGCACCACGTCGGGCTCTATGCTGACAGTGTGGGGCCTGCTTGGGATACTAGTCTCCTTCTTTCTCTGCCCCTCCCCTCCTCATACACACACACTCTCTTTCTCTCAAAATAAAACAAAACAAAAAACACACATGTATTGTGCCTGAGGAAGCTCCGGGTCTGGCAGGCTTCTCATCGTAAGGACTGTGAAACTTTCCTGAAAGAGTCTGTAAAAACCATTTGTTAAGCTGAAGAGCCTGATTTAGTTCTTTCTCACTCAGTTTTAGCCTCTTGACAGGAATTCAGTTTTTGCTCATGTCTTAGTAGTTCATATCGACAGATTCTATTTTTTCCCTTCCAGGCAGATTTCAAACTGATGACCTACCAGAGACCGGACACTGTGTACTACAAGTTAGCCAAGAAGATCCTTCACGCAGGCTTTAAGATGCTGAGCAAAGGAAGCAGCCGAGGCCAGCGAGGAGCCACAGAAACGAGAGTTCTCCTCTGTGTTTTGTTGCCTAAAGAGAACCTCACCCCCAGTGAATGACACGCTTCGGTCCATCCGTCGCTGGCTGTGGTGTGGACCCTTCTGCTCTAGGGTAGATGTCCCAGGCCGCCCTCCCCGCCAGGCACTCTGTCTCTCTGCTCCTGCCCCAGCTAGAACGTCTCCATTAGGGTTGGTGGAAAGTTCTGGATCTGTTGTTGATCAAAGTCTGGTGTCTGATGGATTGCAGCCGGCCTGTGATTAGTTTTATGTGGCTGCCTCACTGAGTCCAGGGGGATGTCTCGGCCGTCTGGAACGGCTTCCCAGATCTGTCCCACGAGCCAGGCTTCATGCGTCCTGCATCCAGGACCAGTGCCTTGTGCCTGATCGGCCTGTAGGTGAGGTGCACCCGTGGCCTGTCCCCTCCGCCAGCCCCGAGTGCTCCCAGCCAGTCTGCCACCCTGTGGTGCTGACTCCCGCCGCCACCGCCTGCAGTAGCACCGTGGGGGTCTGCTGTTAGGCCAGGTGAGGCTGCGATCATCCCCATCCCACGTGTGGTCATGGCACCTCGGCTGTGCTGCTCTGTCCTTTTTGATTCTAGGAGCGGCTGTTAGCTTTGAAGCGCAGCATGTCGTTAATGCATGACTTGGATTTTTCTCAGCAGGCAGCTCTCTTGGGCAACGCAGACACAGCTGTTGAGGAACCTGTTCCCGAAGTGGCACCTGTACAGGTGGAAACTGCCAAGAAATCCAAAAGGCCTAGTAGAGAAGTCATCAGGTAACGGGAGAGGCACTTGCTGTGGTGGGCACACGCCCCTCGGGACTGTGGGCGAGGGTGAGCCTGCGCTGGCGCCGACGTCCACGGAGTCGCTGGGCTCCGAAGGAGCCCAGTCCCCAGAGGCCACACGTGACCTCTGGTCTCAGGTGTTTCGAGGCAGCTGGCCGGCAGCCTGGACCAGCCAGGACTTGTCCCGCAGGAGAGTCCCTGTCACGCTAAGGGACCTGGGGGCACAAGGGCCGGACAGCCCCTGCCAGCCTCACACAGGCTGGTCCCAGGTGTGACACGGGAGCCTGTCTGGCCACTGCTGTCCCCACGTGTGTCGTACTGCTTGTTGGCCCTCCGCTCTGAAGAAGTTCCCTCTCACGCACGACGCCTGGCGGCGGCCTGGCTGGGCTCCCCAGTGCGGGGACGTAGCTGTGCCGTCTTGGGCAGGTGGCACACTTGGGAGGGGGTGCCTTGATTCTCATCGCACCCCACCCCCCACCTCCTGCAGCCGTGCAGCCTGGGCCCGAGGGGGGCTTCCTTGCAGGCTCTGGGTCCCCAAGCAGGTTTGCTCTCACAGCTCCTCGGACAGGGTCCACCCATTTGTTTCCAGAGCCTTCCACCTCCTTTGGGTCCTGCACCCAGCGAACCCTTGGCTGTTTGAATAAAGATCTTCTCCTTCACGTGGGGTCTGCGGCCGCCTGCCAAAGGCCTGGACGCCGCTTTCGCCTCACGACCTTGCGCTCCCAGCTCACTCTGGTTGCTAGCGTCTCCAGCCTCCATGGAGTTTTGCCTCTTTTTCTGACGGTGCCTTGAATGACATTGTAAGCAGTGAAGTTCCTGTCAGGTGGCTGTTAAGACCGACTCAGACGTGTAGCTGAGACACGAGAAACTCCAGCAGCTGTTTGGGTCTCCCTTGCTGTTTGTGGAGGTGCCGTGTGTTGCTGCTGCAAGGACGGGTCGAGGAGTGCTTCGTGCCCCTGCTCCCAGCCCCCGGTGGCCCTGAGGAGCGCTGGGGACTGGCCGTGGGGGAGGCGGGAGCAGCACGTGTCCTGGCCTCCCGGTCACGTGGGTGGTGGTCCTGCTTCGCAGCTGCATGTTCGAGCCGGAAGGAAACGCCTGCAGCCTGACGGACAGCACGGCAGGGGAGCACGTGGTGGCCTCGGTGGAGCACGTGGCTGACGAGGCCCGGGACAGGGTCAGCCGGCTCCTCCCGGGGGGCCAGGTAGCGTCTGGAGTGTCTGGGCAGAGCTCATGCGTTGGGTCCTGTCTCCATCCCCATGTCCGGGGGGACCTCCACGGGCGCCACGCAGGCAGGACCCTCACGGAAGTGGTGTATCACACACCGCGGGTGGGCTCCCCCTTTAGCGGGGATGCCGCTCTCCGGGGGCGGAGGCCAGGCCTGCCAGGCACCTGCGCCGCGGTCTCAGTTTTCTCCCAGGATGCTCGCATCTCTGCACGCCTCTGTGGCGCCTGTGGGTTCCACCTGACCCGGGCCCGGCCGGTGGGAGCCGCCCCTCCACACTCGGAGCTCCCCTTGCCGCCTGATTAGACCAGCGTGTCCAGTGGAAACAGTGCGGCTCCTGTGTGAGCTTTTAGCCCTGGTAGTCGCGGTAACAAGGACAGAGGTGACGTGAATCCCGATGCGTCCTACTTGACCTGACGTATCCACAGTCTCATCTGCACTCAGTCCCCGTGAGGAACTCCCAGAGCCTCACATCCTTGTCTCAGACGCATTTTCCAAACACACGTCGAGTGGTCCGTGAGGAATCCTGAATGGTGATGTTTTGCATACGCCAGGTTGTGTAAAGCATGTGGAGATGAATGTTTACTTACCTCACACTTTCCAGTTCCCTGTGGAGCTGATGTTTCTCTGCTGGACCTGCTGGTCTGCACGTCGTGCTTTGGCCCTGGAATCTCCTGGGCCCTGGGTGCTGCCCTCAGTGTGTCCGGGAAAGAGCCCGGACAGACTGTAGCTCATGGAGGGATGGCTGTGCTCGCCTGCGTGTACTTGCCAGAGGCGCGTGTCCACACCCGAACCCCATTGCTCCCGGCGCTGGGCCTGCTCCCTTTTCTCCCTCTTCGGGTTGTAACTCCACAGCAAGAAACCTGACTTCTGTTCCCTGTAGTGCATTTACACGGTCAGCACTCACATGGTCAGTGCTCACATGGTCAGTGCTCATATGGTCAGTGCTCACATGGTCAGTACTTATGAGGTCAGTGCTCACATGGTCAGTGCTCACATGGTCAGTGCTCACATGGTCAGTGCTCACATGGTCAGTACTTATGAGGTCAGTGCTCACATGGTCAATACGTACATGGTCAGTACTTACATGGTCAGCGCTCACATGGTCAACATCGAGTCTCCAGTCCTCCCTGCCCTGTACCCAGGCTCAGGCACCCAGGCCTGAAGGCCCCCCTCCTCTCTTCTCCCACTCTGATGTGTAAGTGCCCCTCCTGGACCTTCTTTGGGGCCTTTAGAGGAAGGTTTTTTGTTAAGTGGAAGTAGAGATGGAGCCCCGAGTGCCCACTCACATGGCACTTGGTGACCAAGGTCCTGTTCTAGCCCAATGGGCTCAGGTTGTGACATCCTGTAAGATGGCGGTTTCTGGGTACAGCCTTCTATTACGCTAGCTCCTTTAGAAGGATCAGGAGCCAGTCTGAACTCTTTTAGTGCACACAGGATTAAAGTTGAGGAAGGTATGAGAGGGTCTCTGCAGTCTTTTCCATGGAGAAACCAATCGCCCTGTGGTCCGGGTTAGGCTGTGCTCGTATGCCTTAGCTCTGTGGGCACTGCAGTGGGCCTCATCGGGGCCGGCACTCAGGTGTGCTTCCTTGCACATATGCTTCTGTCCTTCCTCCTCCACACAGCCTCTGTGTGACACTTGGGCAGAGGGCAGTTGTCCAGTGGGGGCAGGGGTGCTGAACAGGCCTTCTCTGCACAAGGGGTCTAGCATATGTAGCAGGTGTAGAGCCTTGCTCCCACAGGGCTTCAGTTCTTCAAATCTTACAGCTTGACTTCCTGACACCATCTCAAAGATTCACTCACACCTAGGGAGGGCTCCCTGCGAGGAGCCAGAGTGCTGAACCCCTGCAGCACTCACAGGGCTTGGAAGGTGCCCAAATGTGCACTTAGAGGAAATCCCCCCCGTGATCATCTTGTTGAGGAAGATCTTGATGGGGGCATAGATGCATCTATTCACCTGTGTGGAAGTGTTTACGTATTCATCTGTCTCTTTGAAAAGTATCTTGAGTTGATCATCTCATAGCTCAGACAAAGTTAAGGTTTGAGAATCGTAGTGGCTACTTTTTTTTTTTAATTTTTTTAAATTTATTTCTATTTATTTATTTATTTTTATTTTATTTATTTATTTATTTTTATTTATTATTTATTTTTTTTTATTTATTTCTAGAGCATGAGCAAGGGAGGGTCAGAGGGAGAGAGGAAGATATAGACTCTGAAATAGGCTCTAGGCTCTGAGCTGGCAGTCAGCACAGAGCCTGACGCGGGGCACGAACCCACGAACCGTGAGATCATGACCCAAGCGAAAGTCTGACGCTTAACTGACTAAGCCACCCAGGCGCCCTATAGTGGCTACTTTTTTAATGCTTATTTATTTTGAGAGAGACAGAAAGAATCCCACACAGGCCCCACACTGTCAGTGCAGAGCTCACAAACCATCAGATCATAACCTGAGCCGAAATCAACAGTCGAATGCTTAACTGATTGAGCCACCCAGGTGCCCAAGAAGTGTAGTGGTTTCTGTAAATTTGATTTTAGCTGGTCTTGGTAGAGAGCCCCCGTGCCCTCCCCACGTGCCACTGGGGGCCTCTCTGAGCCCCCACAGGGGAGGGGAGCTCCCCGAGCCACCGCTCACAGCCTGGTCCCGCTGCACAGCAGGAGTCCCACCCGGTGGACTTGAGCTCACTGTCCAGCAAGCTGCTCCCCGGCTTTACCACACTGGGCTTCAAAGACGAGGCGAGGGGCAAAGGTGAGTGTGGGGTGGGCAGGGACGTGGGGTCAGGGGGTCACAGCAGAGGCGCGGTGGGCCCGGAGTCCTCCCACGATCTTCCTGGCTCACCTGTTTTTAGTACTGTGTCTGGATTCTGGGTCTGAAGCTAGCCATGAAATTAAATTAAGGTCTTTCCAGTGAGGGGAATAAACATTTCACTGGGCACGCTTCTCCGCTGCCGCCTACTCATACTGGTGGGTGGGTCTGAGCCCTGTGCCCACCGTGCATAGGGGGTGCACCGGGGTGTCTGGAAAATAATGGTAAGCAAATGTGGGAGACGAGAGCTGGGTGGACGCAGTGGAGAGGGAAGGAAGGGACTGGTGTGCTGGCCGCACTTGTGTTTGTGGCCGAGTGAAGTCCGAGGCTGGCTTGCTGGTTTGGGAGTGTCGGTGTGCCGCAGTTTTGTCCCTGGGGGACGGCTGGCTGTGTCTGGGGACGCTGTGATAGTCACACCATGGGGCTTCTGAAGTCTAATGGGGGGGCACATCTGAGACACGCTCCTCTCGAGCCCTGACGTCATCCACATGGGGACACCAGCGGTGGTGCCCTGACACCCCTTCACGGGAGGCAGCCTCCTCCCGCGGGCTCGGCTCCCGGCAAGGTCTGGGGCGAGACAGGACCCCGGTCAGCACGAGGCCCTTCTGGCAGCGCGTGCTCTCCCCGCAGCGCAAACCCGGTGTCTGCCCTCGCCGCGGAGCCCGGAGGGCCGGCTCTGTGGAAGGCCGCCGCCGCTTCACGTGTGCTCGGGGGCAGCGACGTGCCCAGCAGGCGGCCGTGGGCCGGGGCGGGGGCACAGCCCGCGGGGCCGAGCGCGTCCCGGCTGCGCGGCCCTGCACGTGGCCTCACGTGTGCGGCCTCCCCTCCCGCCCTCAGTCACGTTCCTCTCCAGCGCCACCACTGCGCTTTCCACGCGCAGGAATTCTGCGTTGGCGACTTGAAGTCGGGTGTGTTGGAGCTGCTGTATTCCGCCTGCGTGGATCGGACGGGTGTGCAGTGTGCGCTGAGGTAGGCGGGGTCGGCACGGGCTGGAAGGTTCTCTCTCATTCGCTGTTTGGGAGGAGCCATTTTCCTGGTGGGCAGTTTCCGAGAGAGACCGATGGCAGCGGGCCTGCACCGCAGAGATTTTCGGGTTCTTGTCCATAAACCACTGGTCTGCTGAGGGTTGATCTTGAAGTTCAGGTAACTCAACTGTACTTTACAAAGGTGATGATCAAGGGCATAGTTTAAAAAGGAACATGGAAGTGTGTAACCACCTGTGTACGTTCAGATGGTTTCCTGATTTTATTGGAACGTGGCTTGGCGGCTGTATTAGTCCACTGGTGCCACTGAGCCAGAGCTCCCCAGCCCGAGTGGCTGAAGTAATAGGTGTTGGTCGCCCGGCGGTGCTGGAGGCTGGGAGGCTGGGACCCTGGTGTGGGCAGGGCTGCTTCCTCCTGGCGCCTCTGTGCGTGGCGTGTGGACGGCCGTGGTCGCCCTGTGTCCTCACCGCACGCCCGTCTCGGGGTCTGTGTCCCGGCCTCCGCGCCCTTTAGAAACACGTAACGTACCGGATTGGGGCCCACCCTAAAGACTTCCTTCGAGCTTTGTCGCCTTTTGAAGGCCTCGTTTCCACATATATTCACGTTATGAGGTACTGGGGTTAGAGCTTCAAGAGAAGGATTTTGGGACACAGTTGCGTCCCCAGCGGTGACTGAGACCTGGTCCTAAAATCGCGAACACAGTGCTGTGTTTCTGTAGAAATGTCGTGTTCTGTGTGCCAGGTGGAAGTGGGTCATGCCTGTGGGTTTTTAGTAATTCTCCAGGAGGAAAGGAAAGTTTGATCTCTGAGTTGTGGATTCTTTCCGTATTTGATTTTTGTTTAATTCTGAACAGAATACGGGACGTATTTTAAAAATAAACAGTGAGAAATCAGTAAGCCCTTAATACGGTGAGTACCAAATCCAGATTTTTGTGAACCCAAAGAGGCAGAACGGGAGGACCAAGGAGGAAATCTGTAGTGAGCAAGGGCAGTGTCACAAGAGGTGACACCCCACTTAACCCCTGTGCCCTGTCCCAGCCCTTAAGGGCGGCAGTCATCTTTGCTTCAGAGGGCATGGGGTTCCTAGACTGTGGTCACTTCCCCGGTGCCCACCTGTGAACCACAGATGGGCTCCAGATGCCGGACAACGAGAAGCAGGACCGTGTGAGGGGCACTCTTCTGGGAGTCTCCATGTCGCCTCCCCAGATGCTCTGCTCCAGGCCACACCACAGTGTTCCAGTGTCCCTGCTCTTGTCATGAGCTCATGGTGGTGGCGTCTCCCAAAATGCTCCCAGAGAGATCTGTGTGTCGTCACGGTCTCACTTCCAGAACGGCAGCCCTTCTTGCTCCATGTGAGGGTGTGGCATCTGAGAAGACCTTCTGGGGATTTGCCCGGGCTTAGAGGCCAGGACTCAGGTCTTTGCTCCCTGCCCCCTTTTACAGTGTTTTCCATTTATTTATTTTTTATTTTTTAGTGTTCACAGGGTGGGAAAATCAAAATGATACTCTAGGTGAACACACAGAGTCCCCGCCTCCCCCTTCCCGTGGGGCATCTCCTCAATCTAATTTTGTTTTTAAATAATAATAAAAAAAAAGAAAACAAAAAAAAAAGCAGGTACATCCGTGACTGTCCTGCAGAAGCACGCATCCCCCGCTGACCCTGAGCAGCCCTGTAGGTCAGCGTGCACGCGGCTTTCTTCAGTCGCTAGAGGATGGCCCTGTAAGCAGGTTTTCTCTCGTGATTTTCTTCACAACGTATTCTCCTCTGGCGTGTCTTGTGCTGAGAGTATGGTGTACGGTAAATGTTACATACGAGATCTGTGCTAACCAGTTCATGTTCTCTGAAAGGCCTCTGGTCAGTAGTAGATCAGAGGGAAGTCAGAAGTTCTGTGCAGATATTCAACTATGAGGGCTTGGCGCCCCTAATCCCTGCATTGTTTTGAGTTTTATTTTTTTATCTGTTTTTTAAATCTTTCTTTTTGGTTTATTTTGAGAGAGAGCATACATGTGCCCACAAGTGAGTAGGGTACAGGGAAGGAGAGAATCCCAAGCAGGCTCTGCATTCAGCTGAGAGCCCATTGTGTGTCTAGAAGTCGCAAACTGTGAGACCACAACTTGAATTGAAGTCAAGTGTCAGATGCTTGACTGAGCCACCCAGGCGCCCCTTGAGATGTTTTTAACCGTTCTGGGTCATGGGCTGCTTTGAATATCTGACGAAGTCTGTTACTTCCACCCCCAAATTACATGTGTGAGGTTTGCAGCTCTCTGTGAGACCCTCTTGTGCATGAGAGACTGTGCTGATGGGACGGGCCCCGCCCCTCAGAGCCCCTGGTGCCGGGGAAACGCTGTCTGTCACATTGTCATGGCCCTTCCAGCCTGCAGGCGTTTGTGATGGATGCTGGGAGCTACAGCCAGAAGATGCTGGACGACCTCCTGGACCAGATCACCAGTGGGGACCACTCGGATGCTCCTCCAGCTGAGGCAGGTGGGGGTGCTGCTAGCTCTTCTTCCCTTGTTAGATTTCCAGGTTTTTACTTTAAGCAGTTAATTTTCTTCCAGAGGAACTTAAAAATTAAAAAAGTCTTACATGCCACATACTCCCCGTTCCTGGTGTTCTATAACTTTTATTGGACCCTAATTGCTTTCATCTGTTGTCCTTTCCCCTTGTCCTGAAGAATCTTCTTTAATGTTTCTTCAAGTATAGACTCGCCAGCAGTGAATTTGCTTTTTTTTTTTTTTTTTTTGCTCTGACAAAAGTTTTCATTTTATCTTTATCTTTGGAATTCCTCTTCCCTGGGTCTGGAATCGTGGAATCATAGGTTGCTATTTTCCTATTTTAAAAGACATCTGACCACACTGTTTCTGAAGTGTCCACCATCATTGGTATCTGTGTCTTCCGTTTTTCGCACATCTTCTTGGCAAGTGCACACGGCAGCCAACGAAACGCGAGGGTTCTTTTCCTTCTTTCAAGGCTGTAAGAAGAGACCAGAAGACAAATGTGCTACAGACCTCTGTGCCAGGGGGCCTCCTTTGTCCTTTGCAGAAAGTAGACCGTTTGCTGCTCTACATGCTTCTAAATTTTCATCTTTGTAACTGATCTTCAGCAGTTCATTTCTGATGTGTTTCAATGTTCTTTGTGTGTATTCTGCTTAACATTTGTGGGGCTTCTTGGGCCTATCGTTTGGAAAATTTTCATCCATTGCCTCTTCAGATGTCATGTCTGCCCCCACCCCACTCATTCCTTCTCAGGACTCTGACACGTGGCCGACATCCTGGCCTATTCCATGTGCTAAACTGCTCTGCTCTTCTTTTTGGTCTTTTGTTCCCTCCCTCAAGTGTGAATGCTGTCTGTTGCCGTGGATTCAAGTTGAGTGATCTGTTTTTGCGCCACAGCCGCATCTGCTGTTAAGCCCAGCCAGTGGAGGTTTCATTCGAGATGCTGTGTTGTGCGTCTGGACTCCATGTTATACCTTCTTAGGTCTTCCCTCTCACTTTATGATCCTGCTTTCCTTTAAATCTTTACCATTGTTTCTCATACCTCTCAGAGCTGTTTTGAAAGTCCTTATCCATCAATTCTGTGATCTCTGTCATTCCTGGATATGTCTTTTGGTAAATTTTTCTCTTCTAACTGGCCACAATTTGCTGCTTTATTGTTTGATTCAGTCCTGGGCATTACACTGTTGAGTCTCTACTGTCTGGACTGTGTTATTACGGCCGCCAGCAGCCATAAGTGCCTGGCGGAAATATGACTGTGGTTAGTCTAAATTAGATATGATGAAAATGTGAGCCACAGAACAGAATTTCAGAGACTGGTACAAGAAAAGAAAGGTAAAACTATTTCATTGTTTTATTTGGACCATATATTAACATAAAAATGTTTTCAATACATTAGAGTAAGTGAAATACGTTACTATTGACTGATGATCCCTAATGCCGGGTAACTTCCACTCACAGGCTTCAGCCCTGTGTAGCTCCCCGACGAGAGAGCGGTGTCTCAGCCCACCTGCATCAGGAGGAGCCCAGGCTGGCCACACTCCAAGGCCCTTGGACAGGGCAGAACGAGCCTCAGACGCTGACGGCCATGCTTAATTTAACTTGGGAAATGTTTGTTTCTTCCTGCCATTCCGTTTTTAGTCCCTAAACAGAGTATCAATAAGTGCATCATCTCTCCAAGGCCCTGATTTAGGGAGAGCAGATGTGGCCTGGGGTCTTCTGTGTTTACTGAGACAGAGTGGGCAGGTGTGTGGACCCCACTGGGATTTCAGCCTCCCCACCCCCACCCCCCAGGAAGGAAACCAGATGCTTCCTGGCTCCTTGAATTTACTCCCTCGCCTCCCCCACGCTGCTGTTGTAGCTCCCAGACAGAAGTCTGGGCTCGCAGAAGACATTTCAATGGTGTGGGCTCAGGCAGTGCTCATCCGCCTCAGAGATTCTGTGGCTGAATCGTGGGTTTCACTGACCGCTCTTACTGGGACACACTTTCAGCTGGGTCTGAACCGCGACGTGTGTGTAGATCTGCTGTGTGAACCCCCATCTTTCCCACAATTGCAGGAAGTCCTTTTCGCCTCAGTGTTGGGGAGCAGTCAGAGGTGACCCATGACCCATATGAATTTCTTCAGTCTCCAGAGCCTGCAGCCTCTGTGAAGAGCAGGCCTCGTTGACAGACTTCCATTAATATATATATATATATATATATATATATATATATATATTTTAATTTCCACGTACAGAGTGTTTGTCGTGAGAGAAAGACTTTCATCTTGTCCCCTTCGGCGTGCGGGAAGCAGCCCCAGGAGGTGTAGAGGCGTCTCTGGCCTCATGTCAGCTGTGCGCAGACCCCGTGTTTCTCAGGGCAGCCCCGTAAAGCCTGGACAGTGACAGTACACTCGGTGTGTGAGCACGCGGGGCCGGGCTGCTGTACCTGGTCTCTGAGGGCGGAGGGTCTGTAAAGCTCGTCTCTGCAGCCGGCTGGACACTGTCCTGCCCGCGCTGGGCCCCATGTGTTGTTTGTCCTGCCCGTCCCCCGTGTTCCTGCGCTTCCAAAGCAGGTCACGAAGGGGCCTCACTCTTCTGGGCTGGGACAGGATCTGTGTCGGGCAAGGCCTGCCTTCTGCTGGGAGAGGACACTGCCTCCTGGCCACAGTGATGTGCCATGTCCGTAGACTTTTTTAATCTGGATGTGTTTACTGGATGCCTGTTTACATTTGCAAAACACAGAGATCTCAATAAAATACACAGAACGATTGCATAGCATTGTTTACACTACTATAGGTGTCCACTTCTTTTTTAAAGATTTTTTAACATTTATTTTTGAGAGACAGAGAGAGCACAAGCAGGGGAGGGGCAGAGAGAGAGGGGGACACAGAATCTGAAGCAGGCGAGGGGGCAAGGTGGCGGAGAAGTAGGGAGCTCCGTACATTGCACTCACCCCCATATCTCGCACGGAGAAGGCCTGAAGCCATTGGAACCCTTACAGAATCCAGGTTTGGGAGAAAAAGGAGACAGAGTCCGCTGAGAAAACCTTCTAGCGTGAGTGCGAACTGGGGGAGATAAAATCGGGCTGGGGCCAGAGACACGGGGTGGGGGGGCAGTCCCCCTCTGCGGGGAGTTTAGAGGGGAAAGAGAGTGGCCGAAACTGCTCAAGACACTGTCCCTGTCACCGGAGAAAAGAAAAGCCTCCGCTCGGGACACAGAGGGATCCAGTTTCCTGCTCTCCAGCTGACCCTGGGCGGGACGCACGTGTCCCAGGTGACCCCTGGGGAAACTGCTCCCTGCGCGCCAGCTCGACCTGGAGGGGCCACACGGCGGCCGTGCCTTTGTGCTTTTGGCTCGGTTGGATCCCTAGGGGTGAGGCGAAGGGCTTAAAACTGGGAGATTTGCCCGCGAGTTCGAGTTTCGGGCGACGGGACACAGAGGGGCCTGGTTTCCTGCTCTCCAGCTCACCCTGGGCGGGACGCACTCATCCCAGGCGACCCCCGGATGAAGCTGCTCCTCGCTCACCACCCCGACCTGGAGGAGACGGGAGCAGTGGCTTCTGGCTCAATCCCCAGGGGGAAGGCCAGAGGCTGGGACTGCCCTGAGGGGAACGCCTTCGAGTTTGTTTCCGGCAATTTCAGTGGGGCGCGCGGACTGGCATCTGGAAACGAGGCCTGGCCTGGGATATAGGGCACGGTCCACCTTGGCTGCACCTCCGGCACGGGGAGTTTACACACCCAAAAAAGTGAGTTGCAGCGCTTCATTCAAGAAGGGACTGGAGCGCTGCCCCTCTCCTCCCCACAACCGCTAAGGCAGAACTCCCGCCTGACACATTGGATCAAACCACACCCATCCCTGCTAGAGATGCCCTCCTCCTCTTTTTTTTTTTTTTTTTTAAATCGGAGCACTGCCGGATTAATCCTGATCACTGGCTTGCTTAAACAGTCACATTAAATCCATTCTGTAGGTGTAAATTCTACACCTACCTACCTTTTCATCTCTCTCAGGAGTAATCAGACTATATAATTTCTCTGGATAACACCAGCGTCCTTCTCTCATCTCTCCAACCATATTCCACCCTTTCGCTCTTTGTTTTTTTTTTTTAAATATATTTATTTATTTCTAGGAGAGAGAGAGAGACAGCGTGAGCAGGGGAGGGTCAGAGAGAGAGGGAGTGACAGACTCTGAAACAGGCTCCAGGCTCTGAGCTGGCAGTCAGCACAGTTCGTGGCTCAAACCCACGAACCGCAAGATCATGACCTAAGCGAAAGTCGGACGCTCAACCGACTAAGCCACCCAGGCGCCCCACCCTTTCGCTCTTTGAAAAGAGCTTCTTATCCCTTCTGCCTGTTCATTTCCAATTTTGCCTTATCCCCGCCCTGTCTTCTCTCTCTTTCTCTATGCTCTTCAACCAGCACTGCACACACCTGGCTATTTAATTGTAGCTGGGAAATCTGGTTATATGCTTTAAGCTGTTCTTTGTCTATTGGGTTTCTTTTTTTTTTTTCCTTTTCTTCTTTTTGACTTTTTAGTGTATTTTTATTTTCTATTATTCGCCTTGTCTCCTCCCTCTTTTCTCTTTACTTTCTTGTTTTCCCTTTCGGTTTGCGTGTTTGTTGGATTTGTCTGTGCGTTTGTGTGCCTTTATTCCCTGTGTGTTTGTCTGTCTGTTTTCTTCTCCAGGGCTACCTCAAGAAACAAGCCAAAGTACACATGGTGGAGAGTCCCAAATACCACTACGAGTAGGAAAATAAAATAACCAAGGTCTCAACAAGGGAGACCAAGAGATACCACTCAAAGAACACTTTCCGAAAGGATAGGCCCTGGACAGTCAAAGAGCCTTCTTGGGTACAGCAGCGCTCACAGGTGCAGAGAGCATAACAAGTTTTTAAAACTAACAAGAGAAAGAAAGCTAACCAAAATGATGAAACGAAAGAGCTCTCCTCCAAAGAAATTCCAGGAAGAACTGACAGCTAAAGAACTGCTCAAAACAGATATAAGCAGCATAACTGAACAAGAATTTAGAACAATAATCATAAAATTAATCGCCGGGCTTGAAAAAAGCATGGAGGACATAAAAGAAACTACGGCTACAAACAACTTGGAGCTTAAAAATAGGCATGATGAATTAAAAATTGTGATAAATGAGATATACAATAAACTGGAGGCATCCAATGCATGGATTGAAGAGACAGAAAGGAGAATAAGTGATTTAGAAGACACAATTATAGAAAAAGAAGAAACTGAGAAAAAAAGAGACAAACTGATCCAGGAACATGAAAGAAGAGTTCGAGAGATCAGCAATACAATCAAACAGAACAATATCCGTATCATAGGAATCCCAGAAGAGGAAGAGAGAGGTAAAGGTGCTGAAGGAGTCCTGGAACAAATTATAGCAGAGAACTTCCAGAACCTGGGGAGGGAAGTAGACATTGAAATTCAAGAGGCACAGAGAACTCCCCTCAGATGTAATTTGAATCGATCTTCTGCACGACATATCCTAGTGAAACTGGCAAAATATAAGGACAAAGAGAGAATTCTGAAAGCACCTTGGGAGAAAAGGGCCCTAACGTACAAAGAGAAACCTATCAGGGTGGTGACAGACCTATCTACTGAAACCTGGCAGGCCAGAAAAGAATGGCAGGAGATCTTCAATGTGATGAACAGAAAAAATATGCAGCCAAGAATCCTCTATCCAGCAGGCCTGTCATTCAGAATAGAAGGAGAGATAAAAGTCTTTCCAAATAAACAAAAATTGAAAGAATTTGTCACCACTAAGCCAGCCCCACAAGAAATCCTGAGGGGGACTCTCTGAGGGAAGTGTTGCAAGGAATGAAGAAGGGCATTATATAATAATTACAGGGTTTACCCATCAGGAAGAACTAACAATCATAAATGTCTATGGACCGAATATGGGAACACCTAAATATTTAAAACAATCACAAAGAGAAACAATGTTATAGATAAGAATGTGCTAATAGCAGGGGACTTTAATACTCCGCTTACAGCAATGGATAGGTCAACCAGACAGAAAATCACTAAAGAAACAATGGACTTGAATGACACATTGGACCAGATGGATCTGATAGATATATTTAGAACTCTACATCCTGAGTCCAGGGAATTCACTTTCTTCTCAAGTGCGCATGGCACATTCTCCAAGATAGATCACATACTGGGACATAAAGCAGCCCTCATTAAATATAAAAGAATTGAGATCATACCATGCACCCTTTCAGATCATAATGCTAGGACACTTGAAATCAATTACAGGAAGAAATCTGGAAAACCCCAAAAAACATGGAGGTAAAAGAACACCCTACTAAAGAATGAATGGGCCAATCAGGAAATTAGAGAAGAAATTTAAAAATATATGGAAAAAAATGAAAATGAAGATATAACAATCCAAACTCCATGTATGTGGCAAAGGCAGTCCTAAGAGGAAAGTACATTGCACTCCAGGCCTATATCAAGAGATTAGAAAAAGTGCAAGTGCAAAATCTAACAGCGCACCTAAAGGAACTAGAGGCAGAGCAACAAGAACGCCCTAAACCCAGTAGAAGAAGAGAAATAGTAAAAATCAGAGCAGAAATAAACAACATAGAGACCAAAGAAACAATTGAACAGATCAATGAAACCAAGAGTCGGTTTTTTGAAAAAATAAACAAAATTGACACACCTCTAGCCAGGCTTCACAAAAAGAAAAGAGAGAGCACCCAAATAGACAAAATCATGAATGAAAATGGACTTATTATAACCAACCCCTCAGAAATACAAGCACTTAGCAGGGAATACTATGAAAAATTATATGCCAACAAATTGGACAACTTAGGAGAAATGGACAAATTCCTAAACGCACGCCCACTACCAAAATTCACACAGGAAGAGATAGACAATTGGAACAGACCCATAACTGGTGAAGAAATCGAATTCAGTTATCAAAAATCTCCCAACAAATAAGAGCCCTGGACCTTAGGGCTTCCCTGGGGAATTCTACCACACATTTAAAACAGAATTAATACCAATTCTTTTCAAGCTATGCCAAAAAATAGAAATTGAAGAAAAACCTCTGGACTCATTTTATGAAGCCAGCATCACTTTGATTCCCAAGCCAGACAGAGATCCAGCCAAAAAAGAGAACTATAGGCCAATATCCTTGATGAATATGGATGCAAAAATCCTCAACAAGATCCTTGCAAATCGAATCCAACAGCACATAAAAAGAATTATCCACCAAGATCAAGTGGGATTCATTCCTGGGTTACAGGGCTGGTTCAATATTCGGAAATCAATGAATGTGATATGCCACATCAACAAAAGAAAAGATAAAAACCATATGATCCTGTCGATAGATGCAGAAAAAGCATTTGACAAAATACAGCATCCCTTTTAATAAAGACCCTAGAGAAAGTCGGGATAGAAGGAACTTACTTAAACATCATAAAAGCCCTCTATAAGAAGCGCTCAGCTAACATCATCCTCAACAGGGAAAAACTGAGAGCTTTCCCCCTGAGATCAGGAACACGACAGGGATGTCCACTCTCACCACTGCTGTTTAACATAGTGCTGGAAGTCCTCGCATCAGCCATCAGACAACAAAAGGAAATCAAAGGCATCAGAATTGGCAAAGAGAAAGTCAAACTTTCACTTTTTGCAGACAACATGATACTCTGCATAGAAAACCTGACAGACTCCACCAGAAACCTACTAGAACTGATCCAAGAATTCAGCAAAGTTGCACGATACAAAATTAACATACAGAAATCAGTTGCATTTTTATACATC